AAGATGGGATCTTTATTTGTCAAAAGAAGTATGCCATGGAGGTGCTGAGGAGATTTGGTATGGAAGAAAGCAACTCGGTGCTCAATCCAGTAGTTCCAGGGTTCAAATTTTGCAAGGATATAGATGGAGTTAAGGTGGATGCAACCTACTTCAAACAAGTGGTAGGTAGCTTGATGTATTTAACGGCTACTAGACCTGATCTAATGTTTGTGGTTAGTCTCATTAGTCGATATATGGGGCAGCCAACTGAGCTGCATTTGCAAGCAGCGAAGAGAGCGTTGAGATATTTGAGGGGAACAACCGATTTTGGGATTTTCTACAGGAAGGGAGGGAGTGGAAATTTGGTGGCTTATGTTGATAGTGATTATGCTGGCGATCTAGAAGACAGAAAAAGTACTTCAAGCTATGTCTTCTTGATGAGCTCAGGAGCTGTTTCATGGTCATCTAAAAAATAGCCAATAGTTACTCTCTCAACAACCGAGGCCGAGTTTGTGGCAGCTGCTTATTGTGCTAGTCAAGTCATTTGGATGAGAAGGATTTTGGAGAAACTTGGTCACTCACAACGTGGCAGTACTACTATGTTTTGTGACAATAGTTCGACGATCAAGCTCTCCAAAAATCCTGTGCTACATGGACGTTGCAAACACATCGATGTTCGCTTCCATTTCTTGCGTGATCTTACAAAGGAGGGAGCTGTGGAGTTAGTTTACTGTGGAACTCAAAAGCAAGTTACTGATGTGATGACCAAGCCCCTAAAGCTAGATGTGTTTCAAAAGCTTCGATGTTTGCTGGGAGTCTGCCAAGTACCAGAAGTAAACTAATTTATGGTAATTGGTTTAAGGGAGGGAATGTCAAGTTTGTAGGTGTTTCTGTTAGGATTGATATTCTGTTTTTTGAATAATCCCTGTTGATTAGGGAGTAGGTTGTTTGTTTTTGACTCTTTCCTTTGCTGATAACCATGTTTCTGTTAGAGTAAACATGGGCTGTAATCTCTGCTTTTATTTAGGAAGTTGTAAGGCTATATAATAGCCAGAGTTTGCTGAATTCAATTAGAGGTCATTCTCCCAGATTAAGTGTACTGTTTAGTTTAAGTTCTTTGTGTTACAACACATAGTACTCAATTTTTGTAGGGCACATTGATTTGTGCAATGGTAAAAGTTTGGAATGTCAAGTGTGAATGTGTCTTCGAGTTTGAGGGCAGATACTTTGTTGCAAATGAAGACGGGGTATGGATTTGTATCTTGCCTACCCCTCCAGCACCTTCAAATGAAGTGGTCACCATTGTTAGGAAAAATAGATCAATTAATAGAAATAAAAATTAATGTCAAAAAATTAAATCAATAACGATATAAAAACTTTTATGTACCTTCCTTAACGTGATGTATATTCACAGAATCGAAATTTGATTCTATTATCAATTAAAAAGTTTTCAAACGAGATACGAATGGTATCACAAAACACACTTAGGTGAATTCCAAATAATCATAAATAAACAAGAGGAAAGATCTCACTAAATAGATGAACAAAAATTTTCGAAACAAAGTTGTAGACAGTGGCGGCGCCACAACAAGGCTAGGGGGGTCACGTGCCCCCCCCCTTCAGTTTTTATTTTTTATTTTTTTTTGTACATTGTTCACACACAATATGTAATTTATGTAGTACTCTTGGAGCGCCATGTGATGTTATTTATGTGGTGGTCTAAATCAATAATATAGTGTCAAATTTTATAAATGGAACATAGTAATTCATTATTGTTAGGTAATTGGAAGATAAAACGTGAATCACTTAGATGGTGTTTGGGAAGCCAAACTTGGGCTAAAATAGCCATGTCACGACAAAGGTGGCTTTTTTAGCCACATGGGGACAAAACCTTCACAGGTAAAGCCCAACAATCAATGCCAAGGTCAATTTACGAAATTATCTCCACATGTTAATTTTGGGCATCACCATCAACTGCAGCACACAAAAATTAATAAATTTTTTTTTTCCCAAAACACACCTTTTCGTAAATTTAACAAAGAAAGTTGAAAAAAAAAAATTAAAACATTTTTTTGTTTTTTTTTAAAATATTTTATAAAAATAAATTCAAACTCTATTTATAAAAATATTTTTAAATATTTTAATTTTTTTGTTATGTATTTGGTTATTTTTTGAGTGTAGAATTGTGAAAGTAGTATGGAGTTTTGAGTTATGTGTTTGGTTATGAGTTTTAAAAATAATTTATTAATTGAGTTTTATTTTATGTGTTTGGTTATGATTTGAGTGTAGAGTTGTTTTTAAATTTAAAATATTAACATTTTAAATTATTTAAATTTTTTTGTTAAAATAATTTTTTGAATATTTAAATTATTTAAATTTTTACAATTTAAATTTTTTGAATATTTATTTTAATTTTTTGCTTATTAAATTTTTTAGATTATTTACATTATTTAAATAATTTAAAATAAAATTAAAATTAAAATTAAAATTAAAATAAATATTTAAAATTAAATTAAAATTAAATTATTTAAAATACACAGGACAATAAAATAAAACCTCACTTTTTATCATTTCACAGAAAATGAAATAAAAATTAAAATAAAAAACACATGAAAAAACCATTTGCAAAAAAAAAAAAAAAAAACTTAAAATGAAAAAAACATAAATTAAAAAAAATAACGAGAAAAAACTTAAAAAATGAAAAAAACGTAAAATAAAAAAAATAACGAGAAAAATACGCCTCATTCAAAAATATTTAAAAAAAAACATAAAAACATAAATTACTATTCGCGACGTAATTTAGAAATAAATAAAACACATGAAAACTCATTTTTGAAAAATAAAAAAAGTTATTGTATACTAATAAAAATAAAAAAGAAAAAAAAACATAAATTAATGTGAGTGAATAAGAAAATGACAAAATCGTAAATTTCAAAAAAATAACGACAAAAATATGCCTCATTCAAAAACATTTAAAAAAAAAACATGAAAACATAAATTATCATTCGCCACGTAATTTACAAATAAATAAATAAATAAGTTATTGTATACCAATAAAAATAAAGAAGGCAAAAAACATAAATTAAAGAACAAGAACTAGTTAATGTATAAAAAAAAAAAGAAGACAAAAACATAAATTTAAAAAAAAAAATTTAAGCAAAATACGCCAAATCCAAACCAAAAATAAAAAACTTAAAAAAAAAAATTAAGCAAAATACACCAAATCCAAACCCAAAATAAAAAAATAAAAAATAAAAAAAATTTAAAAGCAAAATACGCCAAATCCAAACTGAAAACAAAAAAATAAAAAAATAAATGTAAGCAAAATACGCCAAATCCAAACCCAAAATAAAAAAATAAAAAAAAATAAAGTAAAATACGCCAAATCCAAACCGAAAATAAAAAAAATAAAAATAAATAACATTTAAGCAAAATTTGCCAAATCCAAACCCAAAGTAAAAAAAAAAGCCAAAAAGGGCATATTGGTAATTTAACAAGAAGACACCTCATCAAAAAGGCAAAAAGCCAAAAAAGCTAAAAAGCCCTTCCCAAACCAAGCTTTTTAGCCCCAGGCTAAAAAAGTCAAAAAGCCAATCCACTTCCCAAACGGAGGCTTAATGTGAGTTGCGATTTCTTATATTCAAAGCACGCTCAAGGATCCTCTATCCCCAAATAACCCTGTTTCCCTGTCCTAAATCACTCACAATCATTGGATATGTCTTGAGATTTTCACATTTTAGACTTCTCATATGATCTAATGATTGTGAGTGATTTGAGATAAGGGGACATGGTTATTTGGGGATAGAGGATCCTTGCTGCCAAAGCACCACGTTATAATCGCAACTCACATTAAGCCTCCGTTTGGGAAGTGGATTGGCTTTTTGACTTTTTTAGCCTGGGGCTAAAAAGCTTGGTTTGGGAAGGGCTTTTTAGCTTTTTTGGCTTTTTGCCTTTTTGATGAGGTGTCTTCTTGTTAAATTACCAATATGCCCTTTTTGGCTTTTTTTTTTACTTTGGGTTTGGATTTGGCAAATTTTGCTTAAATGTTATTTATTTATTTATTATTTTCGGTTTGGATTTGGCGTATTTTGCTTAAATTTTTTTTTATTTTTTATTTTTTTATTGTTGTTTGTTAGTGACTTTTTTTTAAAAAAAAAATTAGTCTTTTAAATTCTAGATGAATTTCAATATTCAAAAACAATTTTTAAAATTTTTAATTCATATTTTATATTTTTAATTATTTTTATCAATTTTTTAAAATAACTTTTAGATTTACTTACGTTGTATTTGGTTGGAAAATTTAAAAAAGAATTTGGAAACAGAAAGAAAAAGAAAAAGGTAGGTGAAATATAAATAAAATATATCTATATTTCATATAATTTCACATACATTTTATCTTTTATTTTCCAAATCTCTTAACCAAACAAAACGTTAATAGTAATATATTTAAAAATTAAAAATTTATACGAAAATCTTAAAAAAAATCATTGAATTTTTGTATTGAATTTTTATATTTTTTTTGTATTTTTTGTATTTAGTGATTTTTTTTTAAATTCACAAATATTATACTTTTTAAGCGTATTTAGGTTAGGTGTGTCTAAAAAATAAAAATAAAAATTGTGTAAAATATTTGAAAAAATTCACCGAAAATAAAAAAAATACGGAAAATAAGAAAACTTAATTTTCTAAAAAGTATACTCAATTTTTTAGAACAAAAAATAATGAATAATTGTTTTTAAATAATTCCAAGAAAAATATCTAGAAAAGACAAATAAACAAAAAATAGTAGACTTTTTTTTGACTTATTTTAATTTTTTCTTTAATTTTTTTTTGAAATTATTTTGTTTTTTACTTTTTACATTCGTCTACTACACAAAATGGACCAGAATTTTTTTAAAAAAAAATGGTATAATTTTTAGAAAAAATCACTAAAAAAATGTTTAAAAAAATAATTACTTATTTCTAGCTTTCCAAACAACTCAATAAGCAACTCCAAAAGACTGGCTAAAAGAGGTCTCTTAGGCATTTTACCCAACACCAAGGATCCTTTAGAGTGTTTTTTTTCTAAAGTTTTTTAAAGTGGTGTATTGTGTGGTTGAGATTTAATGTTGAAAAATTGATGTGACTTGTCATTAAATCTCAACCACATAATGCACCACTCTAAAAAACTTTAAGAAAAAAAAACTCTAGAGATCCTTGCTCTTTAGCAATCACAACTCATGTTCGGCCCTCTAACGGACTAGCCAAAACATTGGCTACTTTACCATCAATCTTCCCCGCTGGCTACCTATGAAGATCATGAATCACTCTCCAAATCAACCGACACCCTTTTTCCCGCGAAATCGTTATCGTTCGCGGTTGATGAGCGCGATCCTGCGAACGTGTTGTATGGCTTCGGCGATTCGCCTCTAGCAGTGCTGGTGGAGAACATGGAGCTACTGATTTCGTATTGTTTGGCAAATCATCTTCTTCCTCTACCTTTTCTTCATCACTCGATTTGCTCTCATTTCTCTCTCTGCACAGCTCAATCAACACATAGTATCGATACGAACTTGACGACTTTGCAAATGGACGAGTTTGGCGTTTTGGTTGAAAGTACTGGGTTCAAAGCACAGGGAAAATCAACCCCAATAGCCGATCTGAAGACCAAAACCAACACTAACAATGGCGGTTCTCAAAATTTCGGAATCAATTCTAGTTTCGACCTCAAACCCACACCAGTAAATCAATCGAAATCGGTATATACTTGGAATTCAACTATTGGGTCCTTCGATGGTGATCTCGATGGAATTTTTCGATTCAATAACAATAGGAAAGCCGGAAATTTAACTGATTTTGATACCTTTGATGACGTATTTGGTAGGAAATTTTGGTGGAATGGAGTTGGGATCCAATGGGTTGAGGAAGAATTTGTGAGGAAATGGAGCAAAATGATATATACCAGGGTTTGGTGGAAGTAGCACTTCAAGTAATGGGTATGTGCTAATTTGCAAATTGGGTATTTATTTTTTCTACTCCAGATCATTCTACAGGTTTTGTACGTTTGTATACGCAAATTTATTATTATTACAAATTTACATTAGTAAAATATCAGTAATTAGTATTTTTTATTTTAAAAATTAGTTAAATTAGTTTTAATGATTAGTTAAAATAATAGGTGAGGTTAGACAACACAATAGTTAGTTAAAGTAATTAGGTAAAATTTTAACTAGTAAAGAATAGGTGCTGTGATTGGAGTTGCCCTTTTGTTACTGAGGGAAATTTCACTTGCTTTTGTTGATTCACTCAATTTTTATTTATTTATTTTTGTTTTGGTGTCTGCTGGTTTTGCAGGAACATTTTCTGCTACTCCTTTTTAAGTCTCCAATTGTACATAGTGCTCAATTTTTGTAGGGCACATTGATTTGTGCAATGGTAAAAGTTTGGAATGTCAAGTGAGAATGTGTCTTCGAGTTTGAGGGCAGATACTTTGTTGCAAATGAAGACGGGGGATGGATTTGTATCTTGCCTACCCCTCCAGCACCTTCAAATGAAGTGGTCACCATTGTTAGGAAAAATAGATCAATTAATAGAAATAAAAACTAATCTCAAAAAATTAAATTAATAACGACATAAGAACTTTTATGTAGCTTCCTTAATGTGATGTATATTCACGGGATCAAAATTTGATTCCACTATCAATTAAAAAGTTTTCAAACGAGATACGAATGGTATCACAAAACATTCTTAGGTGAATTCCAAATAATCATAAATAAATAAGAGGAAAGATCTCACTAAATAGATGAATAAAAATTTTCGAAACAAAGTTGTAGACAGTGGCGGAGCCATAACAGGGCTAGGGGGGTCACGTGCCCCCCCCTTAGTTTTTATTTATTTATTTTTTTTGTGCATTGTTCACACACAATATGTAATTTATGTAGTACTTTTGGAGCGCCATGTGATGCTATTTATGTGATGGTCTAAATCAATAATATAGTGTCAAATTTTATAAATGGAACATAGTAACTCATTATTGTTAGGTAATTGGAAGATAATAGGTGAATCACTTAATGTGAGTTGCGCTTTCTTATATTCAAAGCACGCTCAAGGATCCTCTATCCCCAAATAACCCTGTCCCCTTGTCCTAAATCACTCACAATCATTGGATATGTCTTGAGATTTTCACATCTTAGACTTCTCATATGATCTAATGATTGTGAGTGATTTGAGACAGGAGGACATGGTTATTTGGGAATAGAGGATCCTTGCTGCCAAAGCACCACGTTATCAATACGATATAATATTTTGGGATTATCTAATAATTTATATTCAAAACACATTTTCATAATCAATGTTATCTCTCTAATATTTTTTTATCAAATAAAAATTATAGAAATTTTATAACGATTTGATTCTATTTTCTAAAATTAAGAATTTTAATTTGTAATTTTTTTGTGCTAACATTACATTCTTACATTACTATTGTATCCGAATTATTCCACATTATTATAGAATTTGATTAGTTGCTATTAATAATAAATAATTAAATTTTTATACTTAAATTTAGCTCATAAAATTATTATTATTATTATTTTATTGTTGATCATAAAAAAAATTAAAAATTATAAAATGCCCCATCTACTTTAATTTCTTGACTCTGCCAAAATAATGACCCAAATCATCCCACACAGTGACTGCCGGTAATGAATTTACTTTTTCTTAATCCTTTGTAGGATGGTCGCTAATTTGCTTTTGAACTATGTTCATTTGGCAATACTTGCAGTTTCATTCATCTGATATCAATATGCAAAAATGATTTAAACGATTGTCTAATACACCATTAAACATCATATCTGTGTGTGTTGTTTTTTGACCACACTGTCAAACAGGTACTCAGTTGGAGAACACCGACATAATAGATTGCGCCCGAACGACCTGTCACAGAAAGAAAAGTCACCGACGACAGTTTTTCCACCCAGGGGCATTCCGACGATCAAGTCAATACTCAATTTATCTCTAAAAGATAATAATTAGTGCTTAACTTACTAGCCATAATACGAAAAGCGTACCTTAGACCCACAAGGGTGCCTTTCTTTTATAGCCAGCATTGACCTGATCCCTGTAAAAGCCTAGCTTCACTGGACTTTCCAATAGATAAAGATAAACTCCCTAAGAGCTTTATCCTTATCCAGGCAGAGGTGCTCCCGCTTTCTAGGACTCTCGTCCCTTATCCGCTCATCTCGGATTCCGGTATCTTCGCATATAACCTCGATCTAGCCGAGATTACCTCGGCGTCATGACCTGGACACGTGGCACCTCGGCTGGCACTCCAGTGCCACCTTAGCCACGTGTTGTCATTCAAAAAATATGTTCCCACAACTGCCCCCTATGTTCTATTACCTTGGCATCCTGTGGTGATGAAACCTATATCATTTCTTCCATTTAGCACATCGGCTAAGCTTCGTTTTATCCTTCGTCGGCTGAATACAACCAAGACTTATAGTCTGTACTCATCAATGCTTTAGAACCAATAATCAAGTTTTTTCAAGTTTCTTAGTTGAGATCGTCCTTATAGCCGAGGTCTTTGCTTCATTAAATCAAGAACTCCAAGAGTTTCAACATGCGTATGAGCTGTCACGCACAATAATTCAACCGTTTTTGCCACACGGTGCTTCCCCACTGAACCGTACTTGACACGCGCCATTAAGTCGCATCGCACTTGTGTGCGCCGTTTGACAAGCACGTCGTCCTAGGCACACTAATTGTGATCGGCCACCTTTTCGTGTTTTGACGAAATCACTTCCCTTTCTTTTCGTTTTTTCACTTCACATTTTATGATTTCTCTCTGTGTTTCAAGTTTTCTCTCTTTTTGGAAATTTCTCTAACCGCCATGTTCCGTCGAAGCTCTCTGCAATCACTCCGTTTGTCTCTTCTAGCGAAGCTCTCTCCGTTCTACTCTACCTATTTCCACCGTCAGACTTCGGCGAATCTCATATCGGCGTCATCTTTTGTGGTAAGTCACTGTTTCCCCCCCGTTTAGTTTCAAACTCCGTTGTTTTTGTCTATTGCCATGGTGAATGTCTTTATGTTCTCCAATCTTTATCTGTGTTTCAAACTTTATCATTCACATGTTTTGAGCATGTCCTGTCTTGCAATTTTTTGTGCGTTGTCCAATCTGTTCTTGAGTCATGACCCTTTTATACAATTTGCACATACATTGTTTATTTCGCCACTGATCTTGACCTCGCACACCTGCACAAACTTATTCAGTGTTCTTTGATTTCTTGTCTGTCTTCTTGAGTCTGAATCACATTCTTGTCTCTATTTTCTGTGTCTTTTTCCAGATTCTTGCCCTCAATTTTTGTTTCCATAGTCTTAGGCTTGGGATTTGTTCTAGAAACTTGATCTTTAGTAAAACCGAACCTAAAACCCTTTTGATCTTCAGAAAAATTCGCCTCAACACACGTTTAGGTTTTAGCTGAGGTCCTTTAAACCCTAACAAACCACTTCCTTCTAAAATCCAACACCTTCCCCACTTAGCCGACGTTATGGGTATTTTCAGGTGGAGGGTAGACACCCCAACTAAGCTAGCATACTTTAGGCAGGAGTTTTCCATCCCTGCCGACGTTCATCTCAGGTTGGCTGGGGAGGAGAATTCCATCATGCCCAAAGACGACTCCATGCCATTCCCAGTAGTAGCCTTCATAGAGTGTAGACTAAGGCTCTCTCTTGACATCCTTTTTCAAGAAGTCCTTCACTATTATAAACTCAACCCAATGCAATTAGCCATTAACTCTTACAGAGTCATCAACGGTATCATTGCCATAGCTAGCCGAGAAAATGCTAGGGTAACTCTAGCCGACATCCAGTACTGCTACACCATGTGTGGCCTTAAGTCAGAAAAAGGTTACATTTATTACTTTAAGCCGAGGTCGACGGAATACAAGCTCATCGACGACCTCCCTGATTCCAACAAGGGCGCTAGAGGCGATTATTTCATCATCTCGGGCAACTGGGAGTTCTCTCCAGATGAAGACCTTCACCTCTACCCTTTAAGCCGTACATTATTCAGAGAGGGAGATGTTAAGAGCCAAGTTGTCCCTTTTACTTGCTTTCAGGTCTTTTACTTTGATATTTTTGTATACTCTAACGTCGGTTTGTTTTATTTTGCAGTTCTTCCTCTGCCACCAAAGGATTTCCGCAAAACATTTTTCCTAAGCAAGGACTTCAAGAAGTTGTTAGGTCTGCCAGTTGACTAGCGAAAAGCACCTCTGCTGCTCAACTACATCCCAACCTACAAGTCCATTTTGCCCGACGTCCCAAAAAAGAGCAAGTCTCCTCCTTTAGCAACAACTCCTACTACAATTTCGTCACCTCGGCCTGATCAGGGATCAACCTCTGCTCCAGCAGAACATCCATCTACTTCAGCTCCTTAATTGATTCCACCCTCTCAGTGCCAACGTCGATGTTGAGCTTTAGTTTTTGCACCAGTAGGTAGGACCCGTAGCCGAAGACGCCTAAGTGCCGAGGCGTCCTCTTACGATCCAGCCAACCCACCAACAGCTCTACCAGCAATCTGCCTTGGCACTAAAGTTACCGTTGCCATCTTTTCCAACGAAATGGGGTGACAAAAGGCCGTTGCCGAAGACCTTCTTGCCGACATCCCCAATGTCACCACAATTCAATCTTCACAGTCTCAACCCAAGCCGAAACCAAAGAGGCTGAAGAAAGCTCAAGCTAAGGCAACGGTGACTCAGATCGACTCTGAGGACACCTTGCCAATCTCAAAAATGGCTGAGGCAGAAAAAGTGCCTCTGCCACTAAAAAGAGGCCCGCAGAGGCTGCTCCCTCTGAATCCACCAAGTCAAAGAAGCCGAGGTCAGAGTCTACTGCAACCTCAGGGTCCCTGAAGTCCGAGGCCCCCTAGGCCCCTCCAATTACCTTCGAGGACAAGCCAGTCAGAGTCGGCGACAGTGCGACTGACATCGAAGTTGGTGTTGCCCTCTCTACTGCCTTGCTCCTTCCAAAAGACCTCGAACGCAACACCGAGGTCAGCGAATACGAAAATTTCGCTCTGCAGTTGCAACACTCCGTACAAGTAAGCCCCTAATACTTGGTATTTTCTGTTTCTTCCATACTTAGAGTTTTACTTACTTTGTTTTTTCCCTTTCTTCTAGGCAATCCAGCACGCCCACTCCTTCGCAATGCAGGCCTTCGATATTAAGAAGGAGTTGACCCGCAAGACGAAGGAGGCTACTGGCTTGTTCAAGACCATAAATAAGGCCGAGGCCAAGATGAAAACTTTAATAGATCAGGCCAAGGCAGTAAAACAAGCCCAAGACAAGGCTGAGGAGAGGGCAGGCGCTGCTAAGGCCATTGCTAAGGTCCTTGAAGCTAAGAAAAAAGAGGCCGAAGCAAAGACTGCCGAGGCCCAAGCCGAGCTCATTGTTGCCTTGGCCACAAAGGACGCCGAGATAAAAGCGGCGGACGAGAAAGCATACGCCGAGGAGGCAGTCGATGTCCGCGAGGACTATAAGAAGCAAGTGAAACAGGCATGCAATAAGGGTTTCACCCTTGGTTGGATGGCTGCCTTAAAGGAGTTGGCTGTCCCCGAGGACTCGCCTCTTCGAGAAGATAGTTGCATTGTCCTGCCATTCCCACCCACTCCAAGCCAATCCAAGGACGAAGCTGAGTCCGAGGAGGAAGCCAAGGCCAAAGAAACCGAGGAGACCGAAGTTGCTGTGGCCATGTCCCCAACTCTGAATGAGCAAGTTTTAGAGTTGACTCAGGATGAGGAGGACTTGGTCCAAAAGACCACCTCTGAGGCTGAGGTCGAGACTTCTAACAAGAGCCTGGATGATACACTACGTGAAATCAACGCCAAGGTCCAAGCTGAAAAATCTGCCTAGCTGTCTGCCGAGGCTGACACAACGCCAATTGCCAAGGTAGGGCAGACTGTGGAAAATGCGTAAACTTTAGTTTTTCCTCCTTTTAGTACTTGCTCTCTTTTGGATAGTTGTAAATCTCTTTGTTTTGAACAATGTTAACTTTGTATTTGGCCGATGTGCCACTTTTATAATCTGAAGAAGTAGTTTCTTCGTAGGCTGAAGTGCTTCTTTTTCCCTTTGAATGCAAGTCTTCTTTTTTGACTAAGTGTTTGAATGCTTGTCTTTCCTTTACTGTTTTGTATTATTCCATACTTAGAATATTTTGCATGTCTTCAATGTACACCTTAGCTATGTAATCTCCTCGGGATAAAAATACTTCAGATATATCTTCTAAATTTTTATCTCGGCCTTGGCATAACACTTGAAAACATTTGTGAAAATATTTTCACAAGTGTTTGTTTAAAACCTTTCCACTTATCAAGACTTCTGTCTTCCATTATCTTTCAAGTCTTGGCAACATGGTGATCTCGGCAAGTACGTAGACACTTCTATCAACATAACCTCGGCTTAATTTCAACTTGTAAATTTTTTCAAAAAATTTCAACAAGTGTTAAACCAATTTTCTTTCAACATAACCTCGACTTAATTTCAACTTGTAAATTTTTCTTAAAATTTCAACAAGTGTTAAACCAACTTTAGCATGTAAATTCTAACTTCCAAGCATTATTCTCTAACTCTCTGCCCCCTAATGTGAACTTAAGTTTCACTTATGTTCACATTAAATGTGTTCTTATGATCTTGTCGCCGAGATCAGATTCAAACAGAGACTGGCCGAGGTTATCAACCTCGGTCTCTGTTAATCTAATTGATATGTATTTAAAGTTTTCATTCTATTGACATAGCAAATCTAGGTTAATTCAACTTAGTTCAACTTTATTATATGCAAGTATAATTCAACTCTGCCATATAATAAGTCTAAGTTATTC